TCTGATTTAAGTAATTAAAACAATTTGGAGCCTGTGATCATCAGAAAGCTAAAAACCAAGATGCTCTGATGGTGTAGAGATCGAGAAGGGTGGCATCGTATAAGCTGCAAACTTAAACGCCTGCGTGACTGGAATTATCATTGATAAGTGGATGCACCAATTCATTTTTTGAATGCATGGTCGCACAAAACCCTCTTTCTTTAGAAACGCTTTCCATCACAATGTCCGACGGGAACTCAACAACGTCACTGGGATCTTGTCCGCCTATCATGACCTCCACAAATGAACTGTTCGATGCAGTTAAGCGTTAACATCATGATACGTACGCACCTACACAGAGGGTGATCAAAAATTTCCGATTGTCAAACTCTTGCTACAAGAAACTTCATATGCGATAGCACATAAATCAGATTGAAGAAAACTTGGGACGCAAACTTATTGTCCTGGAAGCCGTTAAGTTTGCAGACGAGGGCTGGGACATTATTAGCAGGGTAGCATCTATGTTGTCTGGATCTCAAATGAGGTCATCGAAGCGCACAGATTGCGAATTAGCGTGCAAAAATTATTACCGAAAGTCCAGCCTAGCATTTCAACAAAACTGCTGCGAACTGGATGATAGGTTTCAAACGCTAAGGGCAAGTAATAGAGTGTAGATTGTGTCGTGTTCCAGGACCACGAGCAGTTTCATGAAGATTATGGTGCTTCGATTAATAAAAAGCGGATCCCAAGAAAGTAGAGAGACGAAAATCAAGCTCTTGTCAGTGTAAAAAAAGCCTTAACGTTCTACCTGCTTTTGCGTTTTTACTTCGTACACTCATATAAACACACGTTTCGTGTTCAGTCAGATCGGAAAAAGATGTCTTCAGGTATATAAAAGAACTGACGCGCTCGAGCGAAACAGCTCGACATGGGAGACTTCATATAGTAAACAAGCGTAACATATCATTGCAAATAGGGATGCAGCATGTTCTGTAGCATTACTTGAATGCCCCAATATTTAACTTATCAGTCGTTATAAAGTCAAGCAGCTTATTTATTTCATAGTCTTTACAAGAGCTTTTTTATGAGACACGCTGTAAAACTTGGGCACAATGCTGTATATAATAGAGAGAGGCAAGTGTATGTGGTGGGTTTGAATGCTCTAATGACAACGCCGTTCATTAACAGCTATGATATTTTAGCGAATGTGATATAATTACTGTTGTTACATATATTGTGACTTAATTGAGCAGCGATTGTCCAGATAACACTATCGCAAGTTATCAGCCACATTGGATTTTCTTCTATTAAATCTTCCTTAAGATGCGATGTTTATACGGGGCTTGTATATTGACCTTGTCAGTGTGTACCTCTCTTGGTTCGGAAAATCGCCAAACCTTCAGACAAGCAAGAGTGTTAAAGAATCAAGGGAAGCCTCAAAGTGCAAAACTACTGCCGATTCTCGAATGGATGATTGTCCACACCAACTTGAGGTATTGAGGTACTAAAAATGTAGAGACGATCTTGTTGGAAGGAGGAGAGTGTTGTTACGCACTGCTTCGTTGCATAACGGGTGACAGACGATGGGTCGCAGGATGCGGAGAGTCGCTTGAAGCTGCAAGTGAGATTTGTGTAAGTGGGTGCAGTAGTTAGCGTGAGCACGATGGTAATACACAGTCTGCAAACCCACCACATCCGCTCACTTGTATCTTACACGCATACTGATGCAAAGTCAAAAGATCTACACGACGGTTCAACAGGCGAACTAGCTATGGTTCAGATGTAAACCAGTCATGCATCGTCGGCACCACTTTATGCAATAAGTTTACCCAATAACTGACGCCATCTATCGGTATTATACAGGTCTGCTAGATGAAAAAAATACAAGATAAAGAGATATGGATCGTAAAACAAAAAGCGACGAAAAGAACGATAACTGGAGAAATTGGATGCGAATGTAAGACTGAAAAGGATATATCGGCCGAATATGAAAGCTCTCGCGATCTGTCCTTTGCAATACCAAGGTCGTAGAAGCCCATTGATTGAAACGCTGCTTGGGCGGCAAGGTAGTCAAGAGCGTCCTGCCGATATCGAGTGTACGATTTTTTAAACCATGCTAGTATATGCAGACTGCTAATATTTGTGAGCAAATGTCCGCGAAGCTCTATTCATACCAGTACACGTTCTGACAGACGTATCGAACCTAAACGATCTGACCACACCAGTCGTGTGGAAACATAATTTGCTACAGCAAGAGGCTCAACTCGATAGAATGCTCTTTGAACCTGTCACTTGAAATTTCATCTGTCCAATAAATCTAATGAGGACGATTGCGCCAACCAGATAGACTACATACAGCTAAAGCTGAACAAATAGTCCTCAATTTCGTCTTTGGATTCGATCTGCTCGTGAAATCGTCCTTCGATCAGACAAACCATACGATTTGCCGCGCAAATAATAGCAGTAGGAGCTCCTAGCATCGAACAACGTGCCGCTCAAAATTTACAGAGCACATGACCGTTTGAGCTGTAAAAAAGTAGGACTAAGTACTTTTTATGATAGAAAAGCTAGTCGAATCGCACATACCCTCACCTCTTTTCGTGACACTCACCACAATATGATCCACTGAAGCGCACCATAACTAGAACACAGCTACTCCACAACGTCGCACGTGGTACGATTCGAGTAGAAAAAAATGGTCTCCGTCGTCGTTCTCATTTCTATGCCGATTCCACTTTAACCAAACACAGATCCACACACGCCCTCACATTGTCCATGTAACGGGGCACCCTTTGTTTGGGGTGCCGCAAAAGTTCACGTACACTAGTACGTGCAGCGAAAACTAATCTACTTGAACGACTCGGTCAAGTAAAGGTAAAAAGAGAATTGCATTTAATACAGTTAAGCTATCAATATAACTTTAATCTTTGTCGAACTATATTGATCTACATTGTCGTATGACGACAACCTGCTCACCACTCATTGCGCGCGTCTAGCTGCGATTGGTGGCAATCTATGCTTGATATGTCTTTGTCAACCAATCTTAAAGCAGCACATGAATATTGTCCTGAAAGGGGATAATCTTCCTTCAATGTTATCTATCTCGGATAGCAATGGTAGAATATTGTCATGCTATACAATATTTCTATTGACACCGTTTGGTGTCAATTTCATGTAACGTGCTACCCCATTACATCCACCCACCCCCTTAACCATCAATTACCTGTTGATTGAATTAGAATTGATTGGGTCAGGGTGACCATCGTTGGATCACTCTGGGAAAGGGAGCACTTGTGATCAAATTCCATTCATTTGTCAATCCAACGCATGGTTTCAAACCCAAGCGGGATGCTACTCCATCAGCAAGAACGGCGGCTGGACGCATGCGTGCAACCGGGGAGAGTACCTCTCACACTACAGCAGCAGGTATTTCGTCACTTGTTGTTGTGAACAGTCCACGTGGTGGGTCACCACGTGCGACAGGTACATCCGCTGCTTATACAGCGGGTCCCTCGGGTCGTTATCGAGACGAGTCTAAGATAGAGCTCATCTATTCTGGCTAGTCAGATGATGCATCCGACTCGAAGACGACACCTCACGCCTCCGGATCTCCCGGGGCGGAGAATGCAAGAGCCAGGTCGACCGGCTCTGGCCAACGTGGCGGCATCATACTCGAGATGTTCGAATCGAGAGATTCGTCTGATGAATCCATGACTCGCGCAAGTTTATCTGACGATAGTACGCGTGGTGATGGTGGTGGTGCCCCTATACATCACCACGAGCAAAGTAACTCAAAGGATCGGGATAACACTGGTGCCAGCGCTCATGCTGGCACCAATCAAGAGGCCAGGGACCGAATTGTCCTGCGCCACGCTCCTCAAGTGGAGTCTCCGTGGATGCCGTCAGCCAGAGAGTTGGATCGAGTGGCCGGCATGACCACCGACCCTGTATCGAATCCCGTTATTCGATTGCAGGAAGATTTGCCTACCTGATTCCAGCACGAAAACTATCCGTGCTGAGTAAAAGTTCTTCACCGATGCGTTTTCTATTATCAGTGGTACAATGGCAACCGTAGTCGAGACGGTATGGCATTGGTTCAAGCATGTGATGCCTTTATCTATAACTTCGAGTTCTCTGGCCGTGAGGCCTGGCTCGGTAAACTTGATGCAGCTCGCATCAGGTTGAGAAACGCCACTCAGTCGGGGTGCATGACAAGTTGCACCGGCTTTCAAGAGAGGCATGGTTGCCCTGTCTCTCGTGGGGCGATCCATGTCCAGGTTGCCTGGAAAATGCTGAATGTTCATTTGGAGAGGTCTACCTCTCTAATGTTCCCCATTGGATGGCGCGCATCTCCTCCAAGATGGGCGAAGGGATCGACACTTTGCAATCCTTGTACTCACGTTAGGGGAGGTCGTTTTCCGACGGCCTTTCTTCGAACGTAGCGTGTGGGTCATGTCGTTCTGCTCGACGAGACCAAAGAAATCAACAATCAGCTGGGCACGAGGCTCTCAGCTGTCCCACGCCGGTGGAATGCCACGTTAGCGGACGAGGTAACTCGTCCGGACGCCATTTGCATCGCGATGGTTCAAAATACGCTCCACTAGGAAGCGTTGACCACCGCTTGAGTCCACCAAAGTATGTGGTGGTGGCGGGGACACCTGATACGGCTCGAGGGTCGGATCGACTTGATGTTCAAGAGCTGAACCTTGTAACGAAACAGTTACACGATGATCTGGCTCATAAACGAAGTCGGCGTTACGAGCTCCATGATCTTGTGAATGATGATTACAATTCTTTGGCGTATGATCGCTCGGACGATCGTGCCGCGTTTGCGTTCGCACAACTTGAGAACGAAGGTTTGACTCGTTCTCTTCGTGACGAGCTGGCTGCAGCTCGTCGAGACATCGCTCAACTGTGTGAGCAGATCGCTTTTCTTGTCGACCAGAATGTCTCGTTAAAACGGGACCACTCGAAGGTGATCTCGGCCTTTGACCGCGGAGGTGTTCTTCCTCTCTCGAAACGGGCTCGTACTGATAGTACGGGAGGAGACGTCCAACGTAAAACGTAGGATGCGTATGCATCTTACGGAGCAGATCAATCGTGTAAGCATTGCCCATACAGCGCAACACACGAAATGGACCAATGTACCTGGGAAGTAGTTTATTGCTGCCCACGTTTGTCACTGCGTGTTTCGGTAGATTTACTGTAGACAGTATAGCTAAGTCCTCTTCGTTGAATGAAAGAACATTTGCTTTTCCACGTTTGTCTGCGTTTATTTTCTGTCTGTCTAGTGCATCTGCAATAGAGTCTTGAACGAAGCGGACAACCGCTTCGAGAGTCAGCAGAAATTCCTCTGCTGATTCATCCTTGTCGACAGCAGTGCACTTCGTGTGCAGTGCTGAAAGGAAGTTGTCTTCCACAATGAGGGTGTCATCGTCCTCACTTTGGCGGTCATAGGCGATGCTGAATATGCCAGCATCGTCGTCATCGTCATCATTGATATCGATCCCATCGACATCGGCATCCATCACGTCGACACCATTGTCGACGTGCGATGAGCAAGAACCGGATCGGTTTTTGTTCGAGCGAGTCCACCCCACCTTAAACTAGAGTCACACTCTGAGAAGGTGGGTAAACGTGGATGGCGTAGACCATTCACGAAGAACGGTGCATGCGTTTTAGACGCGTGCACCAAGTTGTTGATGGCGAATTCCGCCATCGGCAATAACTCACTCCAGCTCGTAAGCGAGTGGGGGGACATACCCTCGAAGTTTCTCTTCGAGAACGCGGTTGATGCGTTCCGTTTGACCATCTGTTTCGGGATGGTCAGAAGTTGACATCTTCAAACGTGTTCCAAGTGCACGGAACACAGATTGCCAGAACTCCGCTGTGAAGCGGGGGTCCCTGTCGGACACGAGTTCACGGGGTAACACGTGAAGTCGGAAGATAGTATCGATGAAGACACGCACACAGCCCTGGTCTGTGATTGACTCCGGTACTGCAACAAGATATACTATCTTGCTGAACCGATCAACAAACACAAGAATACCAGTATTCTTGTGAGCGTCTTTGGGAAACCCAAATACGAATTCCTTCGATACGGACTGCCAGCACTCTGCTGGAATCGGTAGAGGCTGCAAGGGTGCGCGTGATGAAGGACTAGGCTTCACCCGTTGACAAACTTCGCAAGCGCGAATGTATTTCCGCACGAACTCATACTGGCGGTGCCAGTAGAAGTCACGACTCACCATGAGGTTAGTCTTTCTCTACCGTGATGCCCACTGGTTGGGGCATCGTGACGCTCAAACACGATGTGCAATCCAATTCATGATGAGTCGGAATGACGAAACGAGGTGTGTCGCCGGTGACTGCTGTATAATACAGCAGTCCGTCACCAACCAAATACCGTTCGGTTAAAGAGCGGAATTGAGACTACAAGCTTTTCAAAGCTTGATTACACGGATTGGATACATAATCATTCAACCGCAGAAGAATCTCATCTTCTGTGTATGCTTTTCGCACGTCTACGAGCAGATTCGACGACAGTACACTCACAATTAGTGTCGCTACAGTGGGAATATCACCACTGTTGGGTTGAGCAGTCGGCTGGAAATCGGGTCGGCGCGAAGAGCATCAGCGAAAACATTAAGACGTCCTGGTTTTCACTCGACGAAGAAGTTGCACTCCGCGAAGAAAAACAGCCACCTCGCCATTCGTTGCGAGAGGCGTGGACTGTTGTATCGTGCGTAACGACGCATGGTCGGTAAAAACGACTAAGGGCCTATCTCCTAGGAGATAGACGTGATACTTGGCCGGTGCGTATTTCATGGCAAGGAGTTCCTTGTAATGCAACGAGTAATTACGCTCAGCTGCTTGCAGCTGACGCGAATGATATCAGACGACGCGCTCAAAGCCGTCTGAGTCATGCTGCATTACCGCGCAACCGATTGCAAAATCGCTCTGATTTTGTAATCGGCTGCGCGTGGAATAGTTTTTCCTGGTCTGCAATCGCCAACAAAAGCGATTGGGTCAAGCTTTTCTTGATACCCTCGAAAGAGTGACGACACTCAGCACTTTGAGACCACCTCTGGGTTTTCTTTGACAGACGAGAGAGGTGAACGGTCATCTCGGCGTAGTTGCGTGAGTACTTGTGTAAGTACGCCGCTAAGCCAAGGAGTTATGAGGTCCCTTGACGTCGAGTGGCACAGGCCAGTCTCTGATCGCCTTGATCTTTTCTGGATCAGGGCGTACGCCGTTTTTGCCCACGATGCATCCAAGAAGTGGTATTTCGTTCGCTGCGAATATACGCTTCTTGAGGTTCGCGAACAACGTATGCTCTCGCATTATTGTAAGAACCTTCCGGACGTGGATTCTACGAACCTCAACATCCGACTTTCCATCCATAGTCCGGCTATGGACGAATACATCGTCAAAGTAACTCGGTACGAAATCTCGCACCGATCGCAACGTATTCGTAACACATCTGTTGAACGTTGTAGGGGCGTTACTGAGCCTCTGTGGCATCATTAGCCACTCCCAGAGCATACCACGGGGGGTGATCACTGCTGTGTACGGGATGTCCCGTTCACGCATGAGGATCTGATAGAATACATCCATCAGATCCATGGAAGAAAAGATGGTACTTTTTGCCATACCATCAACGATGACGTCCTTCCTTGGTATCGGTGTTTGAGCCGGTACCGTTGCAGCGTTCAATTTGTAGAATGCGTGCACTATCCGCCACACTCCTGTCTTCTTTCGCACACAGAAAGTCGGAGAGCTGTAAGGGGAAATTGATTCTCTCACGTGGCACGCTGCAAAGCGATCCGCAAAGAATCTGCCGATCGCTGTGGCCTGTTCACGAGACAGTGGCCTGTTCACGAGACAGTGGCCACTGCTTCATGACACAGTGCTTCGAGCCCGGTTTGAGCTAGAGCTTGTGTCAAGTGCTTGTGTTCATAGGCAATTCGTATAATAAGGATATACGGAAAACATTCCTAAATTCGACTAGATCCTTGTAGTAAAGATTTGTCAGAAGCGACTACCAAGTTTAGATGTGTTTTGCTCAATATGAGTATTCTCATCGAGAACACTCTCGTTCATCGATGAGCTACTGAAAAACATTTTCTTTCTCAGCCAAAACCTTTGCCGACCAAGTATCGGCGACGTACTGGTCCTCTGTGACGATTTCGCTGATCTGATTGATCTTGTCACTACGCAGATCTCCCAAGAGTCTTTTAGATTCTAGCGTTGGCAATTTGACCACATCCGAAGCTAACTTCGGGGGTGTAACCATGTCAACTGTAAAAGCGCCTACACTTGATCCGTCATTCCTCAAGATAATAACTGAATCGGTCATTTCTTGAACAAAAGCATCCGCAGGTGGGTAGGGATCCACACCCTCAACTTAACTCTCTCGGGAGATATCACTCTCAGCAACGCCGGAATTTTCTTCCAATACGTGTTCTGACTGTTGGTGCACTACCACAGTCATGTCCACTTCGATCGACTCTTTTTAGTATATCGTGTTTTCCTTACGATCGACTCTCTGTTATTCAATCTTGCTTCAACGTGTTGTCCATCCTGAACAACACTAATTTCTCTTCTTGGATGCACCCTTCTTGGTGTGCACCTATGTTCCAATCTACGCGATCTTATCGAGTGGTGAACCTTCGGCGCAGCCTGTGTCTCTACACAGGTGCCGGAAGCTGGTTTCACAGTGTAGTGGCCTTCTACACTGTGATCTTGTGCAGTCGTACTAACGACCGTATCACAAGTGAGACCATGGCACTCACTGTAGTACATCAACACGTTTGTGGACGCTCCAAGACGTTCACCAGATAGCCATCTGATGAACAAACGGCATGCATCTTCACGGATCGATGCTGCCAGCTGATCCATGACCGGTGCTTTCGAAACCGTGGCAGACCGAAGATGACATCAAATTTGTCAAACAGATCCAGTGCGATGTAGTCATCATCGTACTGTATTCCTTCTAGCGTGTAGTGGATTCCCACTACACATTTGTTCACTATTACAGATGCGCCTGTGCAACGCACAACGTCATCCTCGTTGTGGGAACTGTCGCTCAACATAGTTGAGTCTACCATTTCTTGAGATTGGCGATGAATTAAATTGGTGGACGCCCCACACAGTCAACAAGGGCGCGAAGTGACATACCACTTGTCACTTCGATCTTCAAAGTGATGAGGGACACCTCATCACTAAGGGCAGTAACACACAGTGGCTGTGTGTTGTGAGCAATCTTCGTCAAGATTCCTGAAAATTCTCTTGACGTTGCTGGATCAGCAGGGTGCTCCGCCCCTACTGACCCTGTTCGTTTTGTGGCGGTCCGACTTGCTGTCGCGGCTTGGTGGCATGGTCGGACCCACGCCTTGGACCCTTCCTTGGCCAACGGCGGTCATCACGTCCTGTCTTTGGACGCGTTGCAGTGCTCGGGACACTGCACTGATGAGCGTAGTGTCCAATATTCTGACAGTGATGGCATCTTTGCCGTTCGCTTGTGACTCAGAGGGCGAGAGTTTTCGCTCTCGATGTAACAAAGGTCCAATGGTTCGGGACCTCCGTTTTCCTGTCGTCTTGTCGGACGATAGTTTGACGAGTTAGCCTGAGACTGTCTCAGGCTGAAGTCTTCTTGTTCCGCATACGCTATCACCTTTTCCAGCGTGTGGAAGTCCTCTGGGAACATGTAGGTCTTCACCGGCCCATCCACAAGGGCCGTAGATGAGTACGTTGAGGAGCGTGTGCTCATCAACAGGGTTTTCCGTAACGCTACTTGCAAGGTAATGTAGGTGATGTGCGTAAGCGTGCACATCACGCTTACCTTGCTTCAGCCTCAATAGTGCAGAGCGTGCTCTGAACTCGGCTCTCGGCGGCTCAAACGTCTCTTTGAGCCAATACTTTGAGTTCTCTAATGACCCAAACACGTTTGGGACGTGAAGCTTGAGCTCTAAGGCCCAAGGCTTTGCTCATCCTGTCAAAATTGACAGGTCGAAGGTGATTTACATCTCGTCACCCTCGATGTGACGGACCCTGATGGCATCGTCTAACTCGACGAACCATCTCAAAAGAGAATCTCCATCGGTTCCCTTGTACCTTGAGATATCTATCTATAAGGTTTCGGGCCGACGAATGTGCGTCTGCCCGCCCATCGACTGATGAGAGCCTTGCTTTTGTAGCAAGGCTATCGTATATCTTTCGACGGCAAGTTCCCCTTGTAGGAACTTGTTGATAGCGGCTTGTTGCTGGTCTATGCTTAGAGACTCCAACATACCACTGATGGCGGGTTCTCCCATGAGCACACTCATGCGGCCAACTACCTCCCATTCTGAGTCACTCAGGTGGGAGTAGCCTTCTCGTGTGACGTGAAAGCTGTCGTCTTCTACGTCCAACATGTTCACATTGGACGGAAACTAAGTAGTCGTTGGAAGGACTACTAAGTGCTACCAGGTGGAACGGGGCACCCTTGTTTAGGGTGCCGCGAATCTTCATGTACACCAGTACGTATAGAGGAAGCTAATCTGCTCAACAACAATGTTGAGCAAAGGGTGAAAAGAGAACTGTATTTAATACAGTTAAGCTATCAACACAACTTCAATTTTTATCGAATTTATTTAAACAACGCCGTCGTGTGACTACAACCTGCTCACTACTCATTGCGCGCGTCAAGCAGCGATTAGTGGTAATCTATGGTCGATATGTCTTTTATCAACCAATGTTTGAGCAGCACATAAATGTAATCCTGAAAGGGGATAGTAATCCTTCAATTCTATCCATCTCGGTGAACATTGGTTGGATAGTGTCATGCTAGAAAATTTCACAACTGAGACCTTTTGGTGTCAATTTCATAAACGAGCTACCCCGTTACAGTAGGGATGGTTCCATTGTAGTAACACCTATAGTATATGTTCTGTCGTCGAATCTGCTCGTAGACGTGCGAAAAGCAGACACAGAAGATGAGATTCTTCTGCGGTTGATTGATTATTTATCCAATCCGTGTAATCAAGCTTCGAAAAGCTTGTAGTCTCAATTCCGCTCTTTAACCGAACGGTATTTGGTTGGTGACGGACTGCTGTATTATACAGCAATCACCGGCGACACACCTCGTTTCGTCGTTCCGACTCATCATGAATTGGATTGCGCATCGTGTATGAGCGTCACGATGCTCCAACCAGTGGGCATCACGGTAGAGAAAGACTAACCTCATGGTGAGTCGTGACTTCTACTGGCACCGCCAGTATGAGTTCGTGCGGAAATACATTCGCGCTTGCGAAGTTTGTCAACGGGTGAAGCCTAGTCCTTCATCACGCGCACCCTTGCAGCCTCTACCGATTCCAGCAGAGTGCTGGCAGTCCGTATCGAAGGAATTCGTATTTGGGTTTCCCAAAGACGCTCACAAGAATACTGGTATTCTTGTGTTTGTTGATCGGTTCAGCAAGATAGTATATCTTGTTGCAGTACCGGATTCAATCACAGACCAGGGCTGTGTGCGTGTCTTCATCGATACTATCTTCCGACTTCACGTGTTACCCCGTGAACTCGTGTCCGACAGGGACCCCCGCTTCACAGCGGAGTTCTGGCAATCTGTGTTCCGTGCACTTGGAACACGTTTGAAGATGTCAACTTCTGACCATCCCGAAACAGATGGTCAAACGGAACGCATCAACCGCGTTCTCGAAGAGAAACTTCGAGGGTATGTCCCCCCACTCGCTTACGAGCTGGAGTGAGTTATTGCCGATGGCGGAATTCGCCATCAACAACTTGGTGCACGCGTCTACAACGCATGCACCGTTCTTCGTGAATGGTCTACGCCATCCACGTTTACCCACCTTCTCAGAGTGTGACTCTAGTTTAAGGTGGGGTGGACTCGCTCGAACAAAACCGATCCGGTTCTTGCTCATCGCACGTCGACAATGGTGTCGACGTGATGGATGCCGATGTCGATGGGATCGATATCAATGATGACGATGACGACGATGCTGGCATATTCAGCATCGCCTATGACCGCCAAAGTGAGGACGATGATACCCTCATTGTGGAAGACAACTTCCTTTCAGCACTGCACACGAAGTGCACTGCTGTCGACAAGGATGAATCAGCAGAGGAATTTCTGCTGACTCTCGAAGCGGTTGTCCGCTTCGTTCAAGACTCTATTGCAGATGCACTAGACAGACAGAAAATAAACGCAGACAAACGTGGAAAAGCAAATGTTCTTTCATTCAACGAAGAGGACTTAGCTATACTGTCTACAGTAAATCTACCGAAACACGCAGTGACAAACGTGGGCAGCAATAAACTACTTCCCAGGTACATTGGTACATTTCGTGTGTTGCGCTGTATGGGCAATGCTTACACGATTGATCTGCTCCGTAAGATGCATACGCATCCTACGTTTTACGTTGGACGTCTCCTCCCGTACTATCAGTACGAGCCCGTTTCGAGAGAGGAAGAACACCTCCGCGGTCAAAGGCCGAGATCACCTTCGAGTGGTCTCGTTTTAACGAGACATTCTGGTCGACAAGAAAAGCGATCTGCTCACACAGTTGAGCGATGTCTCGACGAGCTGCAGCCAGCTCGTCACGAAGAGAACGAGTCAAACCTTCGTTCTCAAGTTGTGCGAACGCAAACGCGGCACGATCGTCCGAGCGATCATACGCCAAAGAATTGTAATCATCATTCACAAGATCATGGAGCCGTAACGCCGACTTCGTTTATGAGCCAGATCATCGTATAACTGTTTCGTTACAAGGTTCAGCTCTTGAACATCAAGTCGATCCGACCCTCGAGCCGTATCAGGTGTCCCCGCCACCACCACATACTTTGGTGGACTCAAGCGGTGGTCAACGCTTCCTAGTGGAGCGTATTTTGAACCATCGCGATGCAAATGGCGTCCGGACGAGTTACCTCGTCCGCTAACGTGGCATTCCACCGGCGTGGGACAGCTGAGAGCCTCGTGCCCAGCTGATTGTTGATTTCTTTGGTCTCGTCGAGCAGAACGACATGACCCACACGCTACGTTCGAAGAAAGGCCGTCGGAAAACGACCTCCCCGAACGCGAGTACAAGGATTGCAAAGTGTCGATCCCTTCGCCCATCTTGGAGGAGATGCGCGCCATCCAATGGGGAACATTAGAGAGGTAGACCTCTCCAAATGAACATTCAGCATTTTCCAGGCAACCTGGACATGGATCGCCCCACGAGAGACAGGGCAACCATGCCTCTCTTGAAAGCCGGTGCAACTTGTCATGCACCCCGACTGAGTGGCGTTTCTCAACCTGATGCGAGCTGCATCAAGTTTACCGAGCCAGGCCTCACGGCCAGAGAACTCGAAGTTATAGATAAAGGCATCCCATGCTTGAACCAATGCCATACCGTCTCGACTACGGTTGCCATTGTACCACTGATAATAGAAAACGCATCGGTGAAGAACTTTTACTCAGCACGGATAGTTTTCGTGCTGGAATTAGGTGGGCAAATCTTCCTGCAATCGAATAACGGGATTCGATACCGGGTCGGTGGTCATGCCGGCCACTCGATCCAGCTCTCTGGCTGACGGCAGCCAACGAGACTCCACTTGAGGAGCGTGGCGCAGGACATTGCTGTCCCTGGACTCTTGATTGGTGTCAGCATGAGCACTGGCACCAGTGTTATCCCGATCCTTTGAGTTACTTCGCTCGTGGTGATGCATAGGTGCATCACCACCATATCCACGCGTCCTATCGTTGGATGTACTTGCGTAAGGCGGGGATTCATCGGAATAATTACTCGATCCGAATATCTCGAGCATGATGCCGCCACGTTAACCAGAGCCAGTCGACCTGGCTCTTGCATTGCCCGCCCCGGGTAATCCGGAGTCGTGAGGTGTCGTCTTCGAGTCGGATGAATCATCCGACTAGCCAGAATAGATGAGCTCTATTTCCGACTCATCTTGATTTCGACCCGAAGTACCCTCTGCAGACGCAACGGATGAACTTGTCGCACGTGGTGACCCACCACGTGGAGGATTCACAACAACAAGCGACGAAATCGCCTGCTGCTGTAGTGTGAGAAGTACTTTCTCCGGTTGCACGCATGCGTCCAGCCGCCTTTCTTGCTGCTGGAGTAGCAACTCGCTTGGGTTTCGAAACCATGCGTTGGATTGACAAATGAATGGAATTTGACCAACAAGTGCCCCCTTTCCCAGAGTGATCCAACGATGGTCACCCTGTCGCAATCAATTCTAATCAATCAACGGGTGATTGATGGTTAAGGGGGTGGGGTGATGTAATGGGGTAGCCCGTTGCATGAAATTGACACCAAACGGTGTCAATAGGAATGTTGTCTAGCATGACAATATTCTACCATTGTTATCCGAGATAGATAACATTGAAGGAAGATTATCCCCTTTCAGGACAGTATTCATGTGCTCCTTTAAGATTGGTTGACAAAGGCATATCAAGCATAGATTACCACCAATCGCAGCTAGACGCGCGCAGGGAGTGGTGAGCAGTTTGTCGTCATACGACAATGTAGATCAATATAGTTCGACAAAGATTAAAGTAATATTGATAGCTTAACTACATTAAATACAGTTCACCTTTACCTTTTACTCAACTAGCTGTTTGGTTAGTTTGGCTTTCTCTGCAAATATTAGTGTACGTGAAGTTTCGTGGCATCTTAAACTGAGGGTGATCCATCCCACTGTGCGTGCAGAGGAAGGATGGATAATGAACGATGCGTTCAAATTTGTAGCGGATCTACTCAGCGCTCCTTAACAGAGTAAGTCTTAGACTTAAAGAGTCTCTTAGTTATAGTAAAATAACAGCGACGTACAATCCTTCGAGCGTGCAAGCTTAACAATTTCGTTTTCAAGGGGATAACGATTTACATAACTACACACAACCTAGTCACTACTAGTTTAACAAGAGCAAATGCCTTGACAAGGCTACGGCTCTTAACATCACTAGGCATTTAATAGTCAATTGTGTCCAATGATTCAAAAGGGGAACTGAAACTTATCGATTCTTTAAGGCACGGTAATAAAGCCCTAAAGCCTTGCCTGACTGACTTCTGCATTACGATCTTATGACAGAAGCCGGATTCCTTATCCTTACATGATAAGGTGCGGTATTACGGTAGGTACGTGGCACCAAGACTGTACCAATCAGATCCATTGATCTTTACTTGGTGTGTCCACACTACACTTCGCTATAATAACCGCGTGTAACCATGTTACAAATAGGAATAGAAAGTAAAACAATACTAAATACATTATGAAGGTCCAAATAAGTATTCCTTTGTTTAGTTCTAAATTAATTACATTTATCTACAAAAGTGTATGCTTAAGTCTTGCTCACCACTCATAGGGCGTGTCCATTGTTGATTGGATAACTTGACCTGGCTGGAATGATGACCAATATCAACCTATCGGAAAAGTACTTCAGAATGCTTATCCTTCAACAATATTTTTGAGAAATATCAACCGTATGGTAATGTTCAGATTTACAAGTATCAAAGTTAATTACACGTAATAGTCTCACCCCGTTACATACCCCTCAAACGAAAGTCACTAAGTTTCCATCATGTTAATGTAGTCACTATTTCACCACATCAGGTACTGGGAGCACTTGTTTCGTTTGATCCATTCAATTTAAAATATTTATCGCATGATTTTTAAGTCTTCGCGATGCGCAGCGGAAGCTGCTGAAAAGTCAACTGCGCGTGTGTACGCAGCTGCTCTTGAAGATGCACAGCCTCTTGCGGCAGACGATGCTTCGTCTTTTGCCACTTCAACTCTTCCCGCAGCTCCGGTTGCTGCAGAGGCACGTGGTGTGTCATCACGTGGTACTGATAATTTCTTACAAGTGGAAATCATCTATTCGGGGGATTCAGACGGTGGGTCCGACTCGAAGAAGCCTAGGTCGACCGCGACTCCAATTTCGACCGATTACGCGCCAACGAATAGAACTCGAGCGACCGGTCAGACACAAAGTCACTACAAGAGCCTGTTAAATCGTAAATAGAGATTCTGACTTATCCCCTGGGTCTGATACAGCGCACAAGCTTCCTAGCGAATGCGATGATGTGCTGGAACATTGTTATGAAGATTGTAGTGGTATCACGAATTACTTAAGGCCACTCATGAGGCTCTGGACAGCAATGTGCTGCGTCTTGTCTTTATTCAGAAGCCTTGAGTACTACCAGAAAGATTTGTGAATAACTTGACAGGCGTGACAAATCAGCATCATCGGATTCTCTTTTCTACTGCAAGGATGTTGTACAATCTCGAAACCAGCGCGAGCAACTTTCGCGCTGAAGAGGACTTTTAACTCGATTCTTTTCTCGAGCATCTTTGGTATAGCGGCAAGAACAAACGAGATTATAGATCATTGCTGCAGGCGCAAACGCCTGAGAACTAAATGTGCGGCACATTGGGTGTGATGCCTAACTGCAAAAAAAAACTTGAATTATCTCATTTTAGGTTGTAGAAAAGAATTCTAAATTGTGCAATGCCTTGTCACACCATCGGTCTTGTGAGGCAAGAAATACAAGCCTCACGTGGGGCTACCCATGTCCATGTTGTTTGACGACACGTAATGCCACTTAAGGGAACTGTGATCGCCATCGTTGGCCTGGGGTAGGGCACGCATCTCATCTGATACGCGCGATGAGTATGCTAACCTGCAATCGCTCTACCAGCGCCATGGGCGGTTTTCTCCGACGGCCCTTTTGCGTCCTCAGGTGTTTCTTGTCATACTGGTGGACGACACCTACATTATCAACCATAAGGTAAGCGTGAGGCTCCAACAGTCGTGCGACGGCGGATAGCCGCGCTAGCAAAAAGATAACTCGTTCGCTGCTCCTTCACGCCACTAAATTCAAGATTAGCTCCACGTAGAAGCGTTGGCCACCGTGTGATCCACCAACGTCTGTGGTGGGGGCAGAAAGATCAACTCCGAATTTATGTAAAAATAGCATTTGAAGCTTGATCGTTGTAGTAACATTTGTGTAATCAGTACAATCGCACATACAAAGAGAGACAGGAGCGTCTTTCTTGAATGTGTGGGTTCAGCGCCTCCACCTTCATCGTTCTGATGGCCGAGCGGAATTCGCGTTCCATTCATTGACGAACGAACAGAGGCGTCAAGCCTGTCGCGACGAAGTGTCTGACATTCGTCGCCAAAATGCGGCATTACAGAGCCACATTGTAAAAAAAACTGACCTGGGACAAAAATTGTCTCTTGTAGATTTGTGAGCTTAATGGGTGCATTGGTTCGAGGAAGCAATCTTGTGGTGATAGTAAGGATAGAGAAGGCCTACCTTTAACGTTGACGTGTGCGCATCCTGTGAAGCAACTCGATTGCGTACGCGTAGTCTTACGGTGTTGTATTTAAAACGGCCCAATGTAGTTGGGTACTAGTTTACTGCTACCCACATTAGTTCTACGTGCTTAGGTTAATTTACCGTAAACAGTAAATTAAGTCTCTAGCAATAGGTAGAAGAACGTTAGCTTGTACGTGTTTGTCGGCGTTCCGTTTCTGTCGGTCCACCGCATTAGCAATGAAGTCCTGCACATATGGAATACACAAAACGTTCTTTACTGATTCAGTTTCGTTTATACCTTGGCGCGCACTGCTAAGATCGTTTTCTCTTTTTCAGCGAGGGCATCATCGTCCTCGCTTGCATACTCATTATCGAAGCTGAAAATACCAGCTTCGTCGATCTCGTCCGGGTAAGCAATTTTATCGCCAATCTTGCTGAAATTAGATTCTTCGATATTGACTTGATCGACGTCTGCAACGTTCGCGTCGTTAAGTACTTCGACACGTGATGAGCCAGAGCCAGAACGATTTTTGCTCGAGCGTATATCCCATCCTTAACTCAGATCAACACCTTAAATCAATTGGGTAGGTGTGGATTACGCAAGGTTTTCACGAAAAAAAGTGTATGCGTTCTCGACGCATGCACGAATTTGTTGATGTCAACATCCATCATCAGCAATATGTCGCTTCAGTTTCGAAATATCTCTACGAGGATGCGGTTGACACCTTTAGCTTGACCATCTGTCTCGGAATGGTCAGAATTAGACATAGTCAGACGTGTTTCGATACCTCAGGACACGAAATTCCAAAACGCCGCCGTAAATCGAGGGTCTTTTATCAGAAATCAGTTCACGAAGCAGACCGTGAAGTAGAAGTACCGTGGCAATGAAGACTTAGGCACAGCCCTGTGCTGTGATTGACTCCCGAACGGCAGCGATGTATCATCTTGCTGAAGCGATCAACAAACACAAGATTACCAGTATTTTTTTGTGGTCTTCTCCTGATAAAATTAAAGATGGAGTTTATTGAAACGGACTGCCAGCACTCTGTCAGGATATGTGGGGGCTGTAGTGGCGTACGTGATCAAGGAATGGGGATCTCCCTTAGAAACACTATGCAATCATTAATGTACTTGCTCACAAATTGATACTGGCAAAACCAGTAAAGTCAAGTCTTATCGTGAGATAAGTCTGCTTACGCCCACAGAAACCACTGGGTGGCATCATGACACTCATGCAAGATGCACAGTCGTTAACAGTGAGTTAGTGAGGTAGCAACACGAGGTGTGGACCGCAACGGCTGTGTAGCAAAGCGACCCGTTGCGTGCTATGTATCGATCCGCGGAAAATTCATACAAGGCCGGTAATTTTTTTAGTATTTACGGGAGGAAGTCACCAGAAGATATAATAGTCTCGGAACAGCCTATTTATCTACTCAGGCCTTTTTATTGTCGTCAAGAAATGTTGACGATGGAACATTAGTGAAT